CTCTCTCTCTCTCTCTCTCTCTCTCTCTCTCTCTCTCTCTCTCTCTCTCTCTCTCTCTCTCTCTCTCTCTCTCTCTCTCTCTCATACGCACACACGCGCGCACACACTTCGTGTCAAAAAAAGCATGACTGTGCCAGACTGTTTCTTTGGACTTTCACCAACTCATCAGGAAGTTGAACCCCGACAGTCTGCCCACGATGCATTTGCCTGCGTGCGTGTGTTTGTGTGTGTGATTGCGCGGGCGGGCGTCCATGTGAGTGTGTGTTGCCTTGCCCGCTATTCAAAAAACAAAACTATGCCCGCATGGGACCGGTTTCCCCCAAGGCTGGAAGACCTACGATGGGCCCTCTTTTCAATGGATGTGACTATCCAGGCCACCCGCGGTCCTACCGGCCCGATGGCTCAAATCGTCCCGCGATCTTAAGACTTTAAGATCGCGCGACGATCCAGAATGTCCGCCGTCGAGTCTTAAAGTCTAAAGATCGCGTGGAAATCCGGACCGTCAGGCCGGTAGGACCGCAGATGACCCACATCGCCCAATTCTCACGTTAGCAATTTCCATATGTGTAGGGCTATGTGACATTCTCAGTGATTATAATGTTTTGATGAAACAGCCGTTTCATTGTCATACTCTTAGAGGTGAAAAAAATGTGTACACACCCATTTGCTTCTCAGCACTCCTGCACCTTATACTTTGTCTGTTCTCTTTGTGATGCGCGTTCGTATACATTTACTAGTTCTGCTATGAGGGGAGGGAGGAGGGAAGAAAAGGGAGGGAGAGGAGGAGGTGTGGAAAAGAGGAATAGAGTGGAGGGGGGAGAGTAGCAGGGGAAAGGGGGACCCCATATTGTTCTTGAGTGTGTGTGTGTGCGTGTGTGTGTGTGTGTGTGTGTGTGTGTGTGTGTGTGTGTGTGTGTGTGTGTGTATCCGCTAAATACAACTCCACAAAAAAAGGGTGACTGTGACAAACTGTCTCGTTGGACTTTCACCGACTCACCAGGTGGTTCAACCTGACAGTCTGCCCATGATGCATTTGACTGAGTGGATAAGGACACCAACTTGCCCAGACTTTGCCATACCCTTAAGAAAATTGATCAGTCAGATTTACTCACATTTGTTTTATTTCTTCTAGAGAAAAGTATACAGTGGTGCAGCAAAAAGTAGGGCTTGCAGCAGAGAACGATTTGACAGACTGATGGTTTTCCACAGGCGCTAGTTCCCTGCAATAAACTGTTTGCTGCAGCAATAAAGAATGTTCTGTTGCATCAGATGCGACAGAGGGGGTCCGTAGCTTCAAGATTCGAGGCTTCAAGCACACTACGCTCAGCGCCCATGGTGTGGGCAGTACAGGCAAATGCCCCCCCCCCCGCCCCCCCACCAAAAAAAAAAACGGACGTCACACGAAATGCTGGCTCTGCGATACAAAGCCAAAGTGAAAAACAAAGACAAGAGAAAAAACTGGAACAACGATACCAATGGCAAGGGCGGGGCACATAGAGCCCCGCTCAAAGACGTCGCACGGAAATCGCCTCACAGAAAATGAATAAACTCAAACTCATGAATCATAACGCTTCGTTTTGTCTGCAACACACATTTTCCCTTTATCTTTGTCTCTTACTTTCTTTGTGTTTCCTCAGTGCTTTGTCACCAGGCAGTGCCTACAGTCGGACCACGTGCGTGCAAATATGTTTGCCGCCATCAACGCCCTTCCTGAATACGGACTCTGAGACAAAGAAAAATGTTATGCCCACATTAACCGCCGCACGTCGCACAGTTGGTTAAAGAAGTGCCCCTGCAGCATTCCGTGCCGTGAATCACCCTCATCGCACGACCATCACCAAAAGTCAACCGACTACCCGTACAAAGCGGACTATGAAACCCCCCACGGCCAATGCTCCTTAAGGGGAAGGGATGAAGATAAGTAGATCCTCCTTTGCTTATTCTCATTGCAACTATGGCCATATCCTCTCACCACGGGGCGAAAGACGGACACAAGTACGAAAACAGTATCATCAAATTGTATTTGTACATACGACATGTCTGTCAACTGTTGTGTTGCTGCAGACTGCAAGTCTCTTGGTCCTTTCATCGATGGAATGGGGAATGCTATTTTTCTCCAAAAGGGTGGGCCACCTGTGAGATCTCAGTGTCATGATCAGAGGACTGAAATATCTTTCATCAAGTTTCATGAAGTTTCAGCCCTTTTTCCTCCCTCAGATAAGTCCGATGGTTTCAGCTGCGTACCTGCATTGTCGCTAAATGGTACACAGCTGATATAGAGCTCACAGTGAACTATGATTAAACCGCCAGTACCTTTCCCATATGCCGGGCGAGGCTCCGCGCCAAGCATTTGGGATGTATCTGGCTGGCGCGTGTGCCCGGGGCCGACCTCCATGTTAAACAGTGGGCAATTTGTTTTTGCCTGGGAAAGGTACTGGCGGTTTGACAGCTGTTGAGAAAAAGAGAGTAGAGGAAGAACATCATGAAAACTTGCAATGACCATCGGCAAAGCTGGCAGCCCAAGTTTGAGGGCGAAAAACAGTCTAACAACCTGTGGACATGTCCTCCTAAACACCTCCTTTCTCACGTTTCATGAAAGTTGGAAAAGAGCATCATAGGAAGTCATTATTTTTCTGGGGGTGAAAAGGAGATTAACAACGACCTGCGGGAGACGAATACTCTGAAGGGAGTCATAGACCTTCGAAGAGCAGCACAGCTAATGAAGAAATGGGACAGAAGAACTGAGACAAAACCACGCATACTCTGTGGTAAACAGAAATTAAGCCATGGAAGATAGGCACAAACATACAATTGGCCCCAGAGGGGTGGGAAAAAGGGAAAGGGGAAGGTGTTAAGGACCTGCCAAACATGGACTCAGACACGCAGCTGATTTCTGAGTTTTGCCAATGGAATGTATGCCTTACTGAGTTTCCGGCTTGTTTGCTGAGTTTTCCTAAGTCTGTGTGTGTGCATGCTTACTGGTCTGCGTGCCTGTCTGAGTGCTTGTCGGTTTGAGTGTGTGTGTGACCCGCAAGGGTACTCGTCCGTGCGGGAGGCCCAAAGGGCCGGTACTTACCTGTGGCCGTGACATTGAGGGTTGCAGCGGGGAAAACACTCGAGTGGCAGGGAACGAGGCCCGCGACACTTAGAGCAGTGGAAAAACACTCAAGTAGCAGGTAGGCCGGTACCACACAAAGTAGAGGTAGATGTGCTGGGTACTCGATGCCGAGCAGAAGAAGACAACGCTGTCATTTTTAGAGGCCCAGTAGTTCCTAGGCTAGGTCTAGGCGGGTACCAATCCAAGTAGTCTGAGTCTAGCGCCTGTACGGGCAATATCAGAGTCTGCAATGATGTTTCCCTCCGAGGAGGTACCGGTTGCTTGGAGCCCGTTCGGCCTGGAAGTCACCGCCCAAGAGGCAAGCAGGGCACTATATCTCCTGGAGGAGCAAAGAGCTCCTCCTCATTCTACGGTGTGCAAGTTTGGCGACACACTGCTTGGAGCGCTGGCTGGAGCAGCGCTGCTGTGGAGGAAGGAGCGCCCAGCTCTCCACCTCGGCTATGGTGGAGGAGCACGGGCTGGAGGAGGAGGAAGACGAGGACCAGGAAGTGGGAGCGCCAGAGGTACTTACCTGGCTATGGTGGATGCCATCTTCATCACCTTGGTGGGCGCTGCATCTGGAAGGCCCCCGTTGGGGTAGAGCTACATCAAGAAGGTTCGAGGCAGAGTCAGGCATGACGGCCTGAGCGAGAGCAGCCATAGCTGCTTCGAGTTGTCTTTTGCACAGCAGGGCAAGGCCCTAGCAGTCCGCCATAGCCTCGGCCTTCAGGAAGAGGAAGGAGAAGGGTGGCCATGGCTATGGTGGACCTCATGTTGTAGCTGCAGTAGAAGAGGGATTCGGACATTGGATCTGGTTCAGCCATTCAACATTATTATTATTATTTATTGTGAAATAAGAGGGGAGGAGAAAAGGAGGAGGAGAGTGGTTGACAAGAGGAAGGGAATTATCACTGGTCGTTGCTGGTGTACATCTTCGTCTTCTTCTTTCTTCTTCTTCTTCGTTCTTCTTCTTCTTCGTTCTTCTTCTTCTTCTTCTTCTTCTTCTTCTTCTTCTGCTGCTGCTGCTGCTGCTGCTGCTGCTGCTGCTGCTTCTTTCCCTCTCTCTCCTCTCAAGTTCATTCATTTCGTTTGCAATTGGACGGCGTTGTGCTTTCTCATGAATTTGTACTTCGAAATTGGCCAGCATCATAACAAAGGGAACAAAGGGGACCCAGCCAACAAGCCCCATAGGCTCTTCCAGTTGCTGCACAGGCATATAGGTCAGAAGGAGCATTCCAAGAAGCTCAGGCTTTCGGATAGAAAATGGGGCAGCAAAATGCAGTTCGATCTGTAGGAAGCAGTATGAGATAAAGAGTTAAGGGAATGCTCGGAGCAGGCTACAGATCAAAAATAATCAGGCAGCCTTTAGGAGGTGAGAGGGAAAGAAACAGTACAGTTGGATACAGGGGCCAGGATTCTTAACTTCGTCAAAAGAGTGCACGAAGAAACCAGGCAGCCCGGCATGGCGGAGAGGAGCAGCGCGGAGGCACAGCTTCCAAGCGTCCCAGGATTAACAGTAGAGCAGAGAGAACAGGGGTGGACCAAGGGTAACTCCTTCCTCCTAAGTAAGCAAAATTATACGGGATTCTGACTATTTCCAATTGTGCATTGCGTATAATCACAGAATAGCTGTATATACACCTACCTAACTGTGACCTTTACCCTCAGTCATAAATAACCATTCATTTGTCTGTCAGAGTGAGCGAAACACGTCAGCCATCCCATACTACAATGTGGTTTCCAGGTCTAAATCCTTCCTCCTAAGTATTCAATCAACGCTGCTGGCTCAGGGTCCCTTGGCCACAACGGATGGAAACGTGAAGGGAGTAAGTGATGTGAGGGACACTGGACCCAGCTTCCAGCAAATAATAAAATAATTCTCTTTGGCCCGGAGCGGGAAACAGGGGAGAGGATGGAGGGGTGTGGGTGTGTGTGGGGGGGGTGGGGGGGGGGAGGGAGGGCGGAGCGGGGTTTGCATGGGGAGTACAGGACACAGCAGACAGGGAGAGAACGAAAGCAGCATTCCTAGAAAACGGGCAATGGGAGCAGATTAAGAAGATTTTCTGTGGTTCTTTTACAGTCTTTTCTCCTCAGATACCAAGCTGTTCAGGCCAGACACACAGCGTGGGTGAATCTAGCTGGTCCGGAAAATCCGAATAAGCAAGAAAAGGTCCAGGGGCATGTCTTTCCAGTCAGGGATCAGTGGGGATATTTTGTGCTTGTCGAATGGAGCCCAAATCCAAGCTTGTTTCAAAAACGTGAGGTGGGGCCTTAAGAGGAGTTCAAGGGGGTATGATCATGCAACATTTTTTTTTCTTCTTTGCATTACTGATCTCGAATTCCATAAGATATTTTGAGGTGACCCTTAGCCAAGAATTGTTTGAATTGGTAGGTTATGCGGGGTGCACCGCCGGGTACCTGAGCAGGTCGCCCAGCCATCCAGCCACTTGGCGTACCCTGGGCATATCAGACTCCGAGATCTTTTATTGGGGTAACTACGGCGCAGTCCCATTTTCAGTTCTAAATCCACTTCAGGCACCCCTCAAATACAACGCATCCCCACCCAACCCCAAAGCTGGGTTGGATACATTCACGACTTTCCTCGCTTTGGAGAAAAATTCACGAAACCGTGACCGAAATGCATTTAAAACTGTAAACCTCGACTGCGGCCTATTTGGTAGTTTTTCCTTTTTTTATTTTTTTCCCCTTTGGTGGGGCTCTTCTATGCCCATCTAAAGCAGCCCAAATCCCAGCTCTTTTCTGTTTTACACTGTCGTAAGGGGGTTATAAACAGGCATTAAAAGGGGCTTAAAGGGGTTCAAAAAGGGGGATACTTTAGTTTATTTTATTCATCATCCTTTTCATCTTCAATCCAACAAGGAACTCTGAGGTGACGCCGAGCCAAACATGGTTCGCATTGCAATTCTAGACATCATCTTCTTTTTCCAGGATTGTTTGAGTTTGTTCTTCTTTTTTTAATGTGCACTGGGACTGCGCGGGACCCTGCTCGACGGTCCTACCCGGCTGGGCAGCAGGGTGTGTAAGGGGCCAACATTTGTGCCCAGGCAGTTGCCTTGTAATCGTACAGAACATACTTTTTTTCAGTGGATATTTTGCAATCGTACAGAACATACTTTTTTTCAATGGATATTTTGCAATCGTACAGAACATACTTTTTTCAATGGATATTTTTAAATTCCTTGGAAACAAAATCCGAAATTTATACTTTAGACACCTGGAATATGGGTTGTCAGGCAGGCCGTCCGGACCTATGTCTGGATCTGGATCCGCGCAGCTCAGGGCCTGCCCTGCCCGACGTCCCAGCTGGTAGCATACATTTCCTCCTGTTTGCCAACCAATTCGGCTCCGGGGTAGCGATCGACCCATTAGCAATTCAATCACCATCACACCTACATAGCTCACCTTCCTTTTGTGCACCGAAACTAGTATATATGCATGTAAAGATTGTCACAAAATTACATGGAATTCTGATTATTTCCAATTGCGCATTGCATACAATCGCATAAGAAGTGTTAAGAACTGAATATATACACCTACCTAACTGTAACCTTTACCCTCAGTCATCAATAACCATTCATTCGTCTGTACGAATGAGCGAAACATGACAAGCCATACCATGCCATGTGGTTTCCAGGTGTGACCACAGTGCTCCATTTCTCTCTCCCCTACCGACTTCAGCACGGCTGCTCCACTCCCGATCGGCCCCGAGACGGCAATCCCTACTAACTAGCCCGGTCTTAGCGACAACGTCTCCTTCTTGAATCGGCTCTTGTCAAAAGAAATGGTTACAGGATGACGACGAAAGAACTCGTCTCAGGACGGTCCAACAATGTTTGCAGGCTCAATTGGCTCCGAGACGGCAATCCCTACTAACTAGCATGGTGGTCTAAGGCTCTAAGCAACAAGATCTCCTTGATTCGGCTCTTGTCAAAAGAAATGGTCACAGGATGACGACGAAAGGACTCGTCTCAGGACGGTGCAACAATGTTTGCAGGCTCGATTGGCTCCGAGACGGCAATCCCTACTAACTAGCCTGGGGTCTACGCGACAATATCTCCTTGAAGAATCGGCTCTTGTCAAAAGAAATGGTTACAGGATGACGATGAAAGAACTCGTCTCAGGAAGGTCCAACAATGTTTGCAGGCTCGCCACAACTCTTGCTCACTACGCTGCCTGCCTTTGACACTGCAAGGAACTTGTTTCTGACAGAAACCACAAAACTACTCAAATTATTTGTCTTATTGACAACGTCCACTAGCTCTTGGAGCCCATCAACTGGGGGCGAACAGTCATCCACCTCATACTTGCCATTTTCTGTCACATGGAGGGCAAGGATAAACTGGCGATCAGGCTTGTTCGCATCTAGACCAACGAATACGAGTTTCAAAGTGCCTTCGCCGTTCTCATACTGCAAGCCAAGCGCTTTCGAGTACGTGTCGAGAGCAAGCGTCAAGCTTTCGAGGCGATTTCTGGTGACTCTGGCCTCTTCTTCAGCCTCCGCGGACTCCTTAGAAACTTCGTCCTCTAGCGTTCTCACAGTGCTTTGCAGGTTCGCGAGCAAGTCAGGCAACGACTGCTCATGCAACTTGATCTCGTGTAGCTCCTCCTCAGCCTTTCGCAATTCAGACTGCTGGGTTTCCAGTCTTTGTTTCAGTTCTGCTGCTGCTGCCACGTGCTTCTCCGTTTCATCAAGTACTTCTACAAGGTGGGCTGTTGAATCCCTGACAAGAGAAGAATCGGCTTTGCCGATCTCTTCGGCCACATTATCTAACCGCGACAAGATGGAAGTAAACTTTGACACTGCAAGCGTGATAGCATCATCATCCATCTGCACAAAGGGCACAAGAAAATTAAAAAAAAAGGAAAAGGAGGGCTGATCAACTCGTCTCGTAAGGGACCCATCCTTTGTGAAACACCCTATCATGAAAAGCTTTTTCGTTTTAGGCCCTCTGAAGGAACAAATCAACAGCTGACTAGCCAGGAAGAAGTGGGGACTGAGAGAGACAAAACGTTTTTTTTTTTTTTCCTTTTTTCTTTTAGACAGAAGAGGGAAAAGAGGCATAGGAGCCACAAGAGGGAGACAGGGAGAGCAGGCATAAGAGCCAGAAGAGGGAACAGAAGACGGAACAGATGAGGGAGAGAAGAGGGAACAGGAAGAGGGAGAAGAGGGAACAGAAGAGGGAGAAGAGCAAGACGAGCAAACAAACAAAAAGATTAAGAGAAGCAAAGGAAGCAAGCCCCTCCTTCGCATTTAGAATAAAGCAATGTCAAAAGAACAATTTTAGAGCCAGATACAGATACAATGGTCGTGCCTTAAGTTCAGGGAAGATGGTAGCTCCCCTCCGCCCCTCCCCCGACGGTATGCAATTGTTTGGCTCTCAGTTTGTGCTATGTTTTGCTCTCATGTGATGCCATGCTCAAATGCACTACTCGTTCATTCCAGTCTGAAAAAGACTCTGAATGAAAAATGTCATGCAATCTTTATTATTACATAATCATAATAATAAAGATTTGTTCTCCCGCATACTGACGATGACGATGATGTGAAGGTGTGAAATTTTGTGCATCTCATAGAAGCTATGAAAGGTGGTTGCTTACCCCATGAGTTGCTATTAGCATGACTTTAGCCCCATTTACCAATCCAGCATCCGCGATTGTCATATCTGCCGTAAGCACCTTTCCTGTTGACCGCAGCCATAACATTCAAAACATACACAGCCATAGTAAGAACCTTTCTGAGGTTGGCCTTCCACACAAATGCGAACTTTTTTTTTTCTATTTTTTTTTTTGAAAGCTACAAGCTCCTTTCTATTAGTGGGGAGCAACACCTGCTGGGAACCGGGCCCAGCGTCCCTTATAATAACAAGGTTGTGAAACAAATGCAAACCTCATCAATTTCTAATACAAGAAACCGCACTTTGCTCAGTTTGCTGTGTATATCAGTCCTCCCTCTCTCTCTCTCTCTCTCTCTCTCTCTCTCTCTCTCTCTCTCTCTCTCTCTCTCTCTCTCTCTCTCTCTCT